ATCAATAATTGGTACGATAAGTGACTGGACAAGTAAAATCTTGTTATTGGCGGAAAGAAAGTTTTTTAATCGATATACAGATCGCAAAGCTCCAGTAGCTTTGCGGCTTACCTTCTTTATATATTAAGCAACCATAAATGTACACACTAAGACTCTTTACATTAGTAGAGGATGGTACGATATTATTACTAGACATAATTGATGGTAGGGTGGGAATATCTAGTTTAGATAATAATCTTGAGCTACCTAAGATTATCGTTTGGCATTTAGACGGGTTCACGTTTATGCCATACACAGTTGACTATTCTGAGATATATTTCAAATCATCATTTAACATTGAGGTAGCATTAAAGATACTTGAAGTTTAATATTTAGGGTGTGATGTTCTTGCAAATACATTTCGTAAAATCACAAATAAATACGACAAAACAGAAAAAAAAAAACACCGTGAAATTGTGAAAATACAACAGAAAGAATAAATAATAAATAATAGTGTTGCTGTTATTCTGATCTACGAGAATAAGTGAATACCTACCTAGGACTAAGTCCATAACTAAAGACACGGTAAAATAATCGATTCCTCATTGGAACACTTTTGTAAAAGATTAATTATGTTACTATGTTATGTTAGGATTAAAAACTTTCCTTTGTTATGCATACAAATTTGTTATTGCATTATTAAGGATAACTCAAGAACCGTTGGTCAAATCTTAATTAAATTTATATGAAACCACATACAAAGCATTAGTATTCGAATAAAAAAAGAATCAACAAAATCGGTTCACCTAAAAAAAAGTTCTGAGGTATCTCTCTTAAAACTTGTATTGAGAACCTCTCTCTTTTTGAAGTCGGTTAATAATTTTATATCGGTCTTTTCATATAAATTATAATTTTTAAGTAAACACATATTTTTTTCGAACCGTGGTAGCTCAGATGGTTAGCACTCGCTGTAAATTTCACAATACGCGAGCAAACCAGGTTCGATCCCCGCCGGCACCAATGAAATTGTTAATTGCAATTTTAAGTGATGATTTACCAGCGGTGAAGGAAAACATCGTGAGGAAACCTGCATTTCTGAGAAATAAGAAAAAAATATTTCGAAGATATGTGAAGTTCGCCAACACGCATTGGGGTAGCGCGGCGGCCTATTCCTTGCCCTAAAACCCTCTCAGAAATGAGAGGAGGCCTATGGCCAGCAATGGGACGTATATAGGCTGCAACTTTTACATATTTTTTTCAATTGCTATTATAGAAGGCATAATTTACCGATCACCAGATGTCGCTGTTTGGGACTGAAGTAAAGTTTTTTGTTACAATGTCATCATAAGTGAAGGGTTGCGATTTTATTTTATTTTTATTTTTGGTGCATACACCCAAATACACAAAAAAACGCTTCGGTGCTTTAATTTTTTGAACTCTATTTTATCCGCAGTTTTGTTTATCCATTGTAATTAGCTAATAGCTCAGGAAAAAAATTGGTTGACCCTGCAGGCCATTCCTGGAATTTTTCGCTAATTTCAAATGCAAAGCGCTCCAAATTTCACTAAATTATGTTGCGATATCTCGAAGTTATATTTAAAAAAAAAACATTTTTTTTTCAAAATCTTTCTCCTTCGATATCTCACGAACGAATGAACCGATTTTTATTTTTAAACGGCATTCGACATCATTTCTTGAGGCTTAAGCTCAAAAAATAATGTCTGATTAGTTTTTGAAATTGATCGGTAAAGCCGTTTAAAAGTTATTCAAAAAACAGTTTTTAAAATTTTATTTTTGAGATTTCTCAAAATCTACTCGTCTGAAACAGTTCATATTATCACCTAATCTATTCCACATTGAGATCTTTTGAACTCCGTAAACCGCATCTCAATCTATCAAGACATTCAAAAGTTATGAAAGGTTTACATACTTACAAACACACACTCTCTCTCTCACACACATACACACACACACACACACACACACACACACACACACACACAACACGCACACACACACACACACACACCGACACACACACACACACACACACACACACACACACACACACACACACAGCACACACACACTTTTTTTATACAAAAAACCTAATATACAAATTCCTTCATTTTACAGTCAGGTCTCAGACGACTGCATAGTATATGCGCAAGCAATTAATGTGCGTACTTATTTGCAAATTTTTTATTTATAGAGGCTAACAAAAAATTAATACTTTTAGTGACATACTTAGAAAATAAATTCATTTCGACTTTGCAATTATTCATTGAAATGTACAATATTGTGAGCATAACATTATATTATAAAGAAGTATTCGGTTGTATTAATCGCCGGTTGGGTGACTTTGAGTTTGTGGAGTAGTCGTACTGTAAGTGTCTACGTTCCCATCCTCAAGCTTTGCGGTATGGTCTTAATAAATCAAATCAAATGCTGTAAAAATCGCGACAAATACTGCTCGGGGCAAGCGGAGCAACAACACCAAGGTGACCCCTGCCACGTTATCTGTAAATTTTTGCAACATAAGGGGACTTCATTTCAACCTTAACGCAGTCCACTACCATCTGTAGAAGCCTGGCCTCTCCAACTGATACTTCATATCTCTCCTACCCGGTATACAAATTAGAATATTCGTTTGTGCCCCGGGAGTTTGCGTATGTCGTTGCTTATTGAATAATTAGCCCGCAGTGAGTCAAAATTTATTTGTATATGGTAAAAGGTATTTTGTAAGGCAGCTCAAGCACCGAAACTTTTTTCAGGCGAAAAAAATAATTATAACTCAACAAAACAAAATTAAACAGCCATTTACATTCCATGATATATACATGATAGATGAATATATTAAAAAATAGATTGAGTTGAGCAATTGATATTTTCAAAAGTTCTCATGTTTACCCCTCCACGCGGACGTGATAAATCTACACGATAGGCCACTAAACCCACTTTTTTATGTAGAAATAGCATTAATCGATAACAAAAAAGGAATACGACAATAATTTGATCTTTCCGACAATGTGCTTTTTTCATTTATTTGTTTAATTTGATTGATAGATACAATTCCATGCAACAAAACATTGAATTTTTAATTTTAAGGCGATAGTAGAACATACCTACGCTCTTTGCGTTTTAGGCATGTAATATTAATTGCATAATTCAAGAACTTGAAAATACTAATCCGTTATTTAATTACGGCAGTTACGAACCTTTTACGTATTTTGGTCTAGAAGATAATAATAATGATGTTCTTCAGACTGACTTTCAGTCAGTCTCGACGGAGACTAGCCATCTACGTAGGACAGGATTATAGTGCCCAAATATACAAGCAAGCACAGAAGCATTCTCTATTCCCTTACTCTCATAGTCCGAGAGTACACTACGATAGGTACGGGGGTGAAACACCACCGACTTCCTTAATCTAGGCTTCTACTAAAAAAGCCTAAAACTAATTTAAAAAAACCCGGGATTTGAACCAGAGACCACATGATCATTAATCTTGTTTAAGACTACTCGATAAATGAGATCTAAAGGACATTATAATAAAGAGTCAGCATCATCATCATCATCATCATCATCATTACAGCCCTTCACAAGTCCACTGCTGAACATAGGCCTCCCCCAAGTTATGCCACAAAGCACAGTCCTGAGCCACCTGCATCCATCGACTTCCTGCATTTCTTACCATGTCGTCACTCCATCTAGTGGAATGTTGCCCTACACTTCTCCTACCGGTACTAGGCTGCTACTCGAGAACCTTTTTTCTCCAACGGTTGTCGGTTCTTCGAGCTATATGGCCGGCCCATTGCCACTTCAGCTTACTAATAATCCGTTGGGCTATGTCGGTCACTCTGGTTCTACTGCGGATATCCTCATTTATAAGTTTATCACGCAGAGAAACCCCGAGCATAGCCCTCTCCATAGCTCGCTGAGCGACTTTGAGCGTCCTCACACGGCCAGCAGTGAGAGACCACGTCTCGGTTCCATCGGTCATCACTGGCAACACGCACAGATAGCACAACTTAGTTTTCAGGTTTTGAGGTATACCTGACGAGAAGATGTGTCGTATTTTCCTGCACGCTGCCCAGCCGAGTTGAATCAGTCGATTTACCTCTCGGTCGAAGTTGGACTTACTTAGTCGGAATATTTGTCCCAAGTAAACGTACTCGTCAACAACTACAAGCTTAGTGTTCCCAACAACTATGGGCATAGGTATGACATGGACATTAAACATAATGTTTGTTTTGTCTACGTTCATCATAAGACCTATCAGTTGGGAGTCACTATTGAGGTTATTGAGCATAGTCCTTAACGCCTTAAGTTTATAACTTATCTCTTTTTTAAGATTAAAGACAATCCGATATTGTACCCTATACAAAGATTGATCCCAATTCACATTCCAATAACATAACTTAACAAGCCCCATCTTTTTTTTGCGGCGATCGCAGTCGATCCAAACATATGTTGATTTCTTCATTCAAATAGTTGTATTAATATAATAATATAAATCGTAATTTTAAATTATTACTATTGACTCTAATTACAAGTTAAAAAATTAACTCCTTTTTTCTCCCTAAAATTATAAAATGATTATATTTTCATTTAAATCAATGTAACTATAGTTATAAAACAATAATGTAACGGAACGCCGCCCGTCAGTAGCGGCCGCAGCGTCATCGCTCACCGCGTCGGTCAAAAAATTATCAAGTTTCACTGCTTCGCTTCGATCATTTGTATTCGTAATTCTTGACAAGCATTTATGTGATATAAACCTTTTTTTGAATTAAACTAAACTTTAGAACAGAAATATTTACAGCAAATACTTTGTAAATAATAAAATAATGGAGACGCAAGTAGCAAGTGATATTATAATACATTTGATATTGTATCATTTGATTCTTGGAGGCAATACGTATCTTTTCCCGTACAACTACACACATCGCTTTTTATTTCAGATAAGGAGCAAGCCAGTTTCAAAAGATGAAAACAAAGCCTTAATCTAACTTATTGAAATGAGCAAAATTATAATGTCTAAAGCCACAAACGCCAGCAAAAATAAAATGAAAGACAAAGAGTGGGTGCGAATAGCCGAGCAGTTTAATGCTACAGCAACAAGTTTTCGTCGGACACCACAACAGCTTCGGCTAAAATGGGAGAATTTAAAGTTGAGTGCACGTAAACGTTGCACTAAAATAAAAATGAACAGCATAAAAGTGAGTTTCATTGTTTATTTATTTTTAGTCTAAGTATAAATAAATGATTATCCATTTTATTTACATTCTTTATTAATTTCATCTTTTTGATTTGCAGACTGGCAGTGGTGTTGGTGAGTATATAACCCCAGACGAAATACTGGAACGTGTTACCAGCTTATTGGGAAATACAGCCAGTGGATTAGTTGTTCCTTATGGGGGAGATAAGAAACCTGAACACTTTGTAGTGATTTGTGATGATGGTGGTATATTGCTAAATGGTGATGGTGTAGAGAGAGGAATTAGGTGGTGATGGTATGGTAACTAGAAATCCTTTAGTGTGTCCTGAAACACAGTGATACCCGGTAAGTGGACCCCGTGGTGCATAGAAACCAACGTTAATCCTCGAATAATAATAAAAATTCCCATGCCTTGTCACCCCTGAGTACTAAGATACAATGCCTCGTTTCTAATAAGAAGGGTTTGCGGTTCTCTACACTTACCATACGAAACACGGCAGCATTAAACTGATATTTTACGCTGTTATTTTAAGAGAGCTTGGACCCTGGTCGACCCGACGTATTCATGCTACAACCGCAATATAGAACAGCAGCTGAGCTGCTAATAAAAACAATAAAAATAAAAAGGTAAATAAATGCACTTGAATGAAAATATAACGAACTTACATATATTGTATTTATGAAATAATGCAGTGACACAATCACTACATCATTTTATTTTAAGATATATTGGAGATATAAATTACACACGAATAAGAAACTGCGTCAGTTGCTAATTCAACCAAAGATTTTCTAAGGAAAGCACTCTGGGGAGATACATGGGTAGATGTTAAATTGGTTTAGTGTATAATTGCATTGCAGTAGCTTTACTGTTAGTAGACAATACCTTGTACTTATCTGTACAAAATTTCAAAATAGCAACAATATTTTATATGCTAATGTTATTTTGCTGCCTTAAAAGGAGGATATGTACAGTTTGACTGTGTGGTGATGATGTTAAAAATCTATTATCACATATCATCCCGTGGTTGTCGTACAGTATAAGGTTTCACTTCTACCTGCACACATATTTTTTTGGATATATGTTATACGATATCTTCTTTACCGATTTAGATTAGGTGATGCAATACATATTTGGAGATAATATTCCACCCCAAGTGTTCCAAAACAGAAAGTAAATCCTTAATGTTACTTTTTAAACTACATTGAGATTGTGATTTTCTAGTACACACAAAACAAAAAAGTAAAAGCCAACTTTAAAGAACTACCCGGTAGAGGAATGTTGTAGCATGAGTGAGTCGACTCTACCGGGTCACCCAGGACCACGCTCTCACGGAATTAAAAAGCAGCATAATACTACTGTGTTTCGTATGGTGAGTGTATATAACCGGAGACCCATTTTACTGGATAAAAGGCATTCCATTTTAGTCTTCAGGGGTGACTATGCATCTGCTTTTTAATCTTTAATTGACGATAGGTGTAAATATCTGTAGGTCACTATACCCACTCACCATCAGCATAGATGGTCCGTTGGTTAGCGGTGACTGAGCACGTTGTCGGCCATTGTGACAAAAACTGAAAGCTGCATAGCCTGTGTAATTATTGTATTCAAATCTTTAATTATGACTTGTTTATTGTGATCACGTTATTTATGCTCAAGTAAGAAAATAACTGCCTAAGAAAGAAAACCTTATAGGAGTTTGTAAAAAATCGAATTTGATTTTCTTCCTTTAGTGTGACGACTTTGTTAATTTTTAATGAACTTTGAATAATAACTACCATAAAGTCAATACGTGACTTATGATATCAGTTTACAAACAGATAATGGAAAAGGTAATTAATACATGAAAGTCTCAAAAACCCATCGATTTCCGACGTAATCTACAAAATGAGCGAGCAAACGAGCTTCCGTAAAATTATGGCATTTAAAATTTTAATTAAAACCGGTCGATAAATGGGCGCCTTGTGCGATTGCGATTTCTTTTAATTTTAATTAGGCACTGTATTTCAACAGGAAAAAAAAACATGTCTACTAAGAGTATTAATATTGGTGAGATTATCCGTTAAAGATTTAATCCTAACCAATCTTGTAGGAATGGAACGTTAAAGAAAGAGGACATGGCGGATACGGGAACGATTACTGCATACAGAGTTGGGAAAATAGCTCTTAGTGCTGCTACTGTAGTGCACCACAGGTAGTTACAGTGCAGAAACATATATGTATATTCAATTCACCCTGGATTAGTTCGCAGTGATATGACTCTTGGTGTCGGATTTCTAAACGCTGAGGAAGCGGCTGCGACCCCACTTTATATTGTATTTGATGCGCCTGAAAATCTCAAAATGGACTGTCCAATTTTTTATATTCCAATTCCATTCCATTAATTATATTCCAATGACACTGTCCAATTTTTGTGACCGTTGTAATAAAATTATATTGCTCCTCTTCTAAATGCAAAATCCTTCAAGATTTTGGCCTATAAATTGCATAATAAATAGGAATTTCCGTTTTACTCTAAAAAGATCTTATACGATGTCGTTATATAGAAACAAAAACGTTGTAAAGACCGTGCAAAATTAATAAAATATGGACTATGAATTAATTTTTAGCTTAAAACGAATAGTATATTAATTTTTCTTCGTATAAAAGAGTGACAAAACAAATTTATGATTTAAATAATACAAGTGTTTATGTATTTTCTCGCCTATATTATCCCTTTGTATACCCGACGTTTCTAGCACTTTACAGCACCCATGGTCATGAGGGGCTGAGTTGATGAACGTCTAGATGTCATAGTTAACCGCGGTTACCACTGATTAAATTATTAATTTTTGTTCCGATCTACGCAGTATGAAATTATATTATCCTGAAGTCTTGCAGTTGTATGGTTGGGTTGGGATTTAATTTCATTAACCATAGGATTCCAAGCAGGTGGTAGCACCCAGCCATCTTCTCTGTTGAAATAATGGTGTTTTTTGATTTCATTAGCCTTGCGAATCATCTTTGGAAGGAATATGTGTTTAGTCTAGCGAAGATTTGTGGCCTATCAAATGTGATGTAGTGACGGGGGCGATCCTGTACATTTTCACAGACTGCGGACTTCCCGAAGCGTCGATTCTGTATATTAGCTATATGTTTGTTATCGAGGGTTTTAATTGGTCTTTTAGTTTGTTCTAAGTAAGAGAGACCACGTTCACAATCGAGCTTGTACACTCCTGCAACTTTCACAGGGACATTACACTTAACTGATGGTAAAAACTGACCAATCGTTTTCGGCGACTTGAAGTAAGTTTTAAGGAAACGTGCTTCAAGATGTAGCCAATCTTGATAGTGACTCCTCTGACTTATGGCAGTACAGTAGGTAAATGCTAGACTGTGGCCGGCTTCGCTCGTTCGATTTGGCGTAGGCGTGGGATCCGAAGCTTGTTGTCATGCAAAACTTGTTTGACGTGTTGGAGCTCGGCAGAAAAAAAGATTTATTACATTCTTATTACTTTATTATATTTAACATTTTGGGAGTGAACACGCATTTTACGTGGTAGAGCTATGCTGTAGTTATAGTTGTAGCCCAAATGGGTGGAAGCGGCTCAACTGATTTAAGGATCACACTTTCACAGAATATAGGCGTACAATAGCAGCTCTATGCTGCTTTGTTTAGTATGATGAGTGTGGCCGTAGCCGTGTATTCTAATCCTACACGCAACAAGTGTTTGTTATTGTCCTACGAATATATAAATTTAAGGTTTTACAAATAATGTTTCAAAATTAAATTATAATAGTTATATATCGCACACTAAAATATTGTTACGAGCATAGGGTTCGTGACATTAAAAACTGCCGATTGAATTACCAAAATTGATACTTTAACTACCTAACATCAATTTAAACTTAAAACACACTAATAATTAATAACACTTAACACTTTGGTTCACTTTATTTCGCTGCAAGGTCTTCGCTCGTAGCGCCCATTCAATACTGCCCCGGTCGCGGCTCTAAACAGCTTTATATAGAGCCTTTTCTACTGAAACATCTGGAATGCTCGAGTAGAATGTCGAAAGTTCTAGCATCGAATTTTCTAAAAAATTCTCTTTGTTCTGCTACTCCATACTAGATGGCGCTAGTGACATATACCAGGCATCAACTATGGCACGCAACAATATATATATATATATATATATATATATATATATATATATATATATATATATAATTATATGTCGCAGCAGGGGTGGCCGAGATGCGAAACATCGAGTCTTCTTCACATTCGGACATAGTCTTACGTAAATGTGGGCACTCGAACGAAAGATAATTTAAATCTAAACAGCTTTATCAAAACTAATAAATAGTTTTACACCAGAAAAAAAAACATGTGCGTTGGTATGATGGTGACACTGAAAGTTCTTAGAAAATCAAAAAGTGAATAAGCTAGCAAATTACTAGTTTTATTATATATTTTCAAAATGGTATCCATTTAAATCAATACATAGCTGCATCGGATGGAATCACTAAGAAGAACACTTTGCTCACTCATTCTTAGGGGTCTCTTTGACAGCATTTCAAAACGCAGCCACTGCTTCTTCGGCGTCCATAAACTCTTTTTGTCGAAGTTTTTCTTTTAATTTCGAAAATAAATAAAAATCGCAAGGTGCGAGGTCGGGACTGTATGGCTGGTGACTCAGTAATTCTACGTCTGACGTCGCCAAGTAGTCGATTGTTTACTTAGCGCTGTTTGACGAGGCGTTTTAGTGGTGAAGGGGGATCCTACAGCGGGATCATTTCTCCTGAACTTTATCCAAAACAAGTGGCAAACATTTGTTAGTGTACCACCCTGCAGTAACTGTTTTTCGATACTCTTAAACAACTGTTGCGTGATAATCCTTTTCGTCGAACGCGCAGTCAGAAGTAGACGTATCGTGTGTTGTTCTAGTTAACTATAAAATTTTAAAATTTAATTCTAACGTGATTTATATTTGTAATCCAATGTAGTGGTGCATAAAGTTTAATCTAGCTTGACATTTAATTTCTATTATAACCGCTATAATACAACGTTGTGATGCGACGTGCTGCCAGTGCTGCTTCGCCACACCCCCTCGGGTAAAGGAGACAACCAGCGATTTTTCTTCCAGCGCACACGCATATTTTTTTACATACACAGTGCTGATACTCGTCGCCATCCTAACATGAGCTTGAAGCGGTCACCACCCGGTTCTAGAGCGGGCTCACCTTTTAGTGGTAACTCTATGAGCAGCTCAAACACCGATCTACCTACGAACGATTATCATAAAATGACAC